CCGGAGCCTTTTCTTCTCCAGGCTGAACAACCCCAACTCTCTCAGCCTGTCCTCACAGGAGAGGTGCTCCAGCCCTCTGATCAGCTTCGTGGCCCTCCTCTGGACTTGCTCCAACAGGTCCAGGGGCCCAGAGCTGAACAGAATACTCCAGGTGGGGTCTCACAAGAGCAGAGTAGAGGGGCAGGATCACCTCCCTCGACCTGCTGGTCACACCTCTTTTGATGCAGCCCAGGACATGGTTGGCTTTCTGGGCTGCAAGCACACACTGCCAGCTCATGTTGAGCTTCTCTCATCCACCAACACCACCAAGTCCTTCACCTCAGGGCTGCTCTCAATCCATTCTCCACCCAGCCTATAGTCATGCTTGGGATTGTGCTGACCCACATGCAGGACCTTGCACTTGGCCTTGTTGAACTTCATGCAGTTCGCACGGGTCCAACTCTCCAGTCTATCAAGGTCCTTCTGGATGGCATCCCTTCCCTCCAGCGTGTCGAACACACCACACAGCTTGGTGTTGGCAACTTGCTGAGGCTGCGCTCAATCCCACTGTCCATGTCGCCGACAAAGATGTTAAACAGTGCCGGTCCCAATACCGACACCTGAGGAAGGCCACTTGTCACTGATCTCCTCTTAGACGTTGATTTGTTGACTGCAACTCTTTGAGTGTGACTATCCAGCCAATTCCTTATCCTCTGAATGGTCCGTCCATCGAATCCGTCTCTCCAATTTAGAGACAAGGATGTCATGCAGGACAGCGTCAAATGCTTTGCACAAGTCCAGGCAGAAAAGCAACAACACAGAAGTTGCTCTTCCCTCATCCACCAATGCTGTAACCCCATTGTAGAAGGCCACCCTTGTCTTCGTTTCAGAGCACCCTTGTCTTCGTTTTGGGAGGTTCTACATTGTACCAAAATAAAAATTGCATTATTTTGCCAGAGAATTGAGGTCTAGGAAGTTTGAGAACAAGCTTTTACACATAATATTGGATCCCTAGCCTCTGTCATTGCATTCTTTAGAGTTCCCAAAGAAGCACTTTAATGAAGAAAAAACGGAGTTTAATTATTCCTGCTTGTTTTACATCTAACTCTACTGTGCTGGGAATATCAAATATGGCAGGTTGACAAGGGCACAGATAATTGAGGAAAAGTTCAGGACCAAATCCCATATAATAAGAAAATATTAATTGTTCCTCTGAAGGATATAGGACCTCAGTTTGAAGACCTCAAACTAATCAGAGAGATGGACTTTATCTGAACTGCAGCCTTACTCTTAGCAATTCTTAATGGATGTTTGAAGTTAAACTAGGTGTAAAACAAAAGTCCCACTAACTAAATTAGGTTAGTCATGCCTTGAGCAAAAACTGATTTGAATTTGTGGAAGCTATTTTCTTTTCTACTTTGATCAGAAAGCCTAAGAAACTGTTAGTCAAAACCAATGATGTTTCTTTACTTCTGTGCATGTGGAACACAATGCTACTGATTAGGTAGTTTTGGTAATGTTACTAAATATTGCAAAATAGACCTATAAATGAAAGACCAACAACATATTGCAGATGAAGTAATGAAATAACTAGAACTCCAGCAGATACTTTGTGTATTTCTGTAACAGAAATACCTGCACCTCATTTCCAGAATAATGCATGAACTGCCCTCTTGTGTCCAAAGAAATTACAGCTACTGCTGAAGCCAGTTTTGGATGTGTCCTGGTGACACGTAAGCATGTCACAAATACTCTTCATTTTCTGAGAATAAGTAGCATGAACAGGAAGCAAATTCCATCTGGCAATAAGAAAATATAGTAGTCTTAACTCTGTTTATTGAACCACTCAACTTTGGTCACTGACAACTGTGAGGAATAGATTAAGGCAGACTTTTAGAAAGCATGATGATTGCTAAAACATCTTGCCATAATCTCTGTGACTTCCGGAAATATTCTAGTACCCTCTATAATAAAATGAGATGCAGACTTTGATACAACATTTCCCAAAAGGTAAGTGATGGAGCTCTTCCCCTTTGTAAACCCAAATGATTTGATATAACCAGGTAACCCCAGTGCTGTGCATTTGCTGAACCCTTACGACGCTGCTGTGACTGGGGCAGAATGGGCGGTCAGGCTTGTTCCAGTTCCTGTGATCCCATTCATGTCTAGCTACTAGCTGCATCTCCTAGAGAACATCAAGAAGCACTAATAATTCATGATTACCACTGACAGTGAACAAAACTTGATGCTGGTTTTACCTTTAAATTGCTCTGTGCTGAAATTCTGCATGATGTGATGCTGTCCGTGTCAGCAAAGAATGACAGTGTACTTTAAGCTCTGTGGGTTTCCCTTACGTAGAAAAAGGGGAAATAAACCAAGTCACTACCTTCAGTGCTCTTACTTGACCCTTCTTCTGAACTAGTGGTGAAAGCCTGAACATGTCAGAAAAGTTTTTAAAGGTGACATTTTTATCCCTTTATCCAGTATTGCTGCTAAAGAAGCCCTAGAGAGGCACTTCGGAGAACAAAGTAAGCCTTCTTCTCAGGAGATTATGAGGATGGCTGAGGGGCTCAATCTTGAGAAAGAAGTTGTGAGAGTTTGGTTTTGCAACAGAAGACAAAGGGAAAAAAGAGTGAAGACAAGTTTACATCAGAACACTTTTAGTTCCATTATCAAGGAGCATCACGAATGCCGGTAAAGCTTTTCCATGTATAGATGTGGATTTCTGTTTTGCTTTTTGTAAATATTGTAAATACTATGTTTCTCTTACAAGCTAGCCAGCTTCAGATGTAGTGTGCTGCGGAAGACCTGATTTTAATGTAAAAGTTTGGAAACAAATTAAATGCTAATGCATATACTTAAAGAGTTGGAGGTCTCTGCTTAACTGTAAGGAACCTATTATGCATTATTCAAGTAGAAATGCTTTCCAAGTTGCACAAGTAATTGCAGTTTCCCTGTGCTGTGCCTTTCTTGCATCTACGATAGATTTAATGATTAATGAAGAACTCCATGTAGGTACTCTAAGCATCAGGAAACAAAACCTTTGCATTGTATGTGAAGAAAGGTTACAAAGCTTGATATCAGCAGCTATAATATTGAAAATATTTTGCCTCTGCATGCTCGTGCATGTGCTTTACCGCCGCCCCACATTAACTAGCTAACTGTGCTAACCTTTGCAAGATTATCAGCCCTTAGGCACATGGCAGGGTCCCATCTCCAGCGGGGAACACTGAGCATCGGTGAGAAATGAGAACGTCAGAGAAGGTGAATCAGTGACCTTAAACAAGCAGCAGTGATGCTGCTCAATGCCTCGTTATGGCCAAGGATGGGATATACCCATGGGAGCTTGTGGGACTGCCACTAGACCTGAGCGCCAGGTACAGGAACACTAGCTGAGTACCTGCCTTTCCAAAGAACAGCTCAAACTCAGCTCCCCACTCACCAGCTGTACACATCTGAGTGAATCATTTCAAGTAAATTGTGTAAGTTCAGGACAAAGCCATTAGAAATGTGCCATAATTGCTGTCATTATTTACAGTAGAGTAAGCTTCCCAGTACAGAGGTGACAACACTGTTCCTACTGTGTGCTCTGCCTCAGCATACCATTTGACTGCCTTAAATTAGTGCCAAGTAGAAGTGACTTTTTTTTTATGCTTGTTATCAAAGGTAATTCTTGCTAATAGGCCTTAAAGTTTGATTTGGATAGGCTTACCTATAAAAATTTGGATACAATTTACCTTACCTTAAGACTTTGTGACCTGAGGGGAAAAAATTAGAGAATTATCACTGGTTTTATTCATTTGGGGTTTCTCTGCATTGTATTTTTCTTTCTGATTAAATCCATGTGTGGACATACTTACACCAGAGATAGTGTGTTAAACTAAAAAGAGAAGGCCCTTGCACTCTGAAATAAGTATCCACACAAAGCATTTATTGCACTGTACATTCCCACTCTCTTACACCCCACTAATTGAAAATAATCTCTTGTCATTCTCTAGATGAGAGAGATAATCGTGGGGGGAAAAAAATCCCAGTGCCAGAGCTCTACCTATCAGAAAGCCAGGCACTGAGAAACTGAATTAATGACTGTAGCACCCACCAGGGATAGATTATCCAGCTATCTCATCAGCCCTGCTCATTGTTATTAGAAAAGCCCATTACCATATACGTGTTTTTTTCACTGTTTTCCCAGGACTGAAATCGAGTACCTGCAAGTAGTAATGGCCAGATACATTTTATTTTTCCATAAACCAGACCTGATGATTTAGAAAATGTCTAGATAATAGGCCCACAGAAAGCAAGAGGAGTTTAATGTTCAAGACCACTTAGAAGCAGTGTGTACAAGTTAAGTGTTCTCTCTCTCGTGTACATTAAATTATGTCTAATACCTATTACAGTGACCATAGGCACATTCAGCTATGGAATTAGGTTCCTGGATTAAAAAAAAAATACATTTTTATGGATGAATGCATTGCTATAACCCCTTAATTTAGAAGAAAACTTCAATTTAATAACTCAAAGGGGAGAAATTGTGCTATATACTCTCTTCAGGTTGTTACCACCACTAGCATATAGCAGAGAAAGACCAAGCCTTAGCCTTTAACCCCCACATGTATCGACAGATCATGAACTTTCCAAAAGGATGAAAGATACATACAGTTGAGAAGATTAGCACTCAGTAAAGGTGGTGGCATGCATTTGTGTACCTTTGATGCACTAATGTTACGTATGTTGAAACTATCTGATATGTATATAAATTTTACTTATATTCTAAGTTATTTTCTTAAAAGGCTTCCTAGAAATGCTATAAGCCTGGACTTCCTCCCTCCCAATAAAGCATTCTTATACAGTTGGTATTTCAGGTAATGGTTTGTAGTTCTGTTTTGGTAATACTTTAATTCTTAGTCATGTATCATGTTGATGTGCTTATTCATTTTAGCATGCTGTAATAGTTAATTCAAGAGCAGACTTACCGTAACATTGTGATTTCTAGTCTTGAAAGAAGTCTTACAAGTGAAGACTAATTGCAGAAGCACAACAAAATAAAAGAAAAGGTGACACATAATGCCATTGTCTTGCAAAAGAATGACAGAAGGCTAAGTGGAGGAAGCAGCCACCATTTAAACACATCTAGCTGTCACCACAGAAATACAAACAAATTAGAGTAGAATTGTTTAAAGAAAAAAAAGCTGGATTAAATCAATTTAATGTGCTGCAGCTGCAGCCCTTAGACTTAAAGAAAGTGGCAATTCTTTTTCTTTTTTTTTTTTTTTCCCTGTAGGAATAACTTACTGGGTAATTGCCATCAATCACTCTTGATTGGGGACAATCCCCTAGATAATACTTCTGGGGGTGGCTTTATAAACCTGTAAGTAAGAGTTTGGTTGACATTTTGACTAACGTGAGCTGCGCTATTTTTGAGATGTTTGTGGGGTTTTTTTTCTTGCTCTTTCTTTTCTCATGGGTAACTTTAGGCAGGGTATTAAAACTAGAATAGAGGACAAAAAAAGACATTATAACTTTATAACCTGTGGTTCACCTGTCTCTGAAGTACTGTGTAGCATTGTCCCCCTCATCTGAAGGACACAACAGACCTAGAAAAGGCCCCTATACAGGCAAGGCTGATGATCAAAGGTAAGACAAAGCTACTGTTTCTCTCACAGATTTCATTTGTGTGCATGCAATGCTCTACAGGTCTACTGCATTATGAGCTGTATTGAAAGGCTGGATGGAGGCAGGCTGCTCACCATCTTGCCTAATGTAAGAAAGAACTAGGAGTAAACATGTGAAGCTGGAAAGAGGCTTAAGAAAAAACCAAAAGTGGTGGGGAAAAAAAAAAAAAATCTGTGGAACTTCTCTACTAAGAGATGTTGGTGCTAGAAGTTTTATATATATATATGGACAAGTTCACAGATGAGAAAGTTGCTCAAAGCTGTTGTATACAGAGGAACTTAGACAGGGCTCTGGAAGTGCTCTGAACTGGAAAGAGGTAGAGGTTGGAAGACTATTAGGGGGAGGAAGTGTCATCTACGTTTACCTTGTTCTCCTATTTTCCTGGGCTTTGCTTATGGGCACTTGTGCACTAGGATTGTGGGTGAGAACAGACCTCGGTCTGCCCCAGCAGAGGCATTCTTAGGTGTGTGCACAATTGCTTTGTTCTTCTTGGATGGAGGACTTTCAGAGTCAGTTGCTATTAAGGTGTCATCAAGGATAAAGGAGTTTAAGGATTGAGTGGGGGGTTTTCTTCTAGTCTGTTAAGAGTGATTTAAAAGGAATTTGAGTAGTGGATGCAATTTGGTTATAGAAAGCTACAACATAATAACTGTAATTGAAATAAATATAAGCAAGCCTGCAAACCCACACCACTTGTCACTCTTCTACTGAAAGATTTTTATACAGATTAGAGCTGCAGGACTTAAAAGGTAACTGCTAACAGAAACACCAGATAGATATTGGCAGTAGTTCTATGTCAGCAGTCTTAATGACACCAAGAAGCAATGCCTTTAGTACTGTTCGTCAAAAACCCCAGAGAGGAAAGAACTCATAATAGAATTATGCCCAATTCTGACAGTCATTAAAAGGATAAAGTGCACACTTCATTCAGAAAGGACATAAGCCTTGGTGTTCAACCAAAATACAATCAATCAGTAACATTTTACACCTAACTAATTTCACATTATGGTTTCTCCTTCAGTGCCTGAGGGCAGTACTTGAGCACCAGTAACAGACAGAGGGGAATATAAACTTGATCAAATCTTTACTGAATGTTGAGTTGAAGTCAAAAGCCCATAAGCAACTATGACAAATATTATGCTGCTTTATAGTTCAGATCAAAGGAAAATTTATCGAGCTAACAGGAGTCCAAAGAAAGCCCACTAAGAGACAGATGCGTAAGACTAACCCTACAGAGGACAAAGTCATTGTGGAATAAAAAGCCTTTTATTAGATTTTTACAAAATAACTTGTAAAAAAAAAAAGAAAATTCACTTCATATCAGATATATGCAATATATAAACTTACACATTCCTACCCACTACCTCACAGACTCATAGTGTCCATTACTTCCTTCAAAGAGAAAGAACACCTGCCTTTCTATGCCTAGGCTCACCTGTTTTTTCTTTCTCCGCTGACTTCAATCCTAAAAAGCAGATGGTGTGAGAACAGTACATTCATAGAGGTTACGGTTTCCTGCTACACTTTTTCTAGCAGCAAAGTCTCTTCATGAAGTTTGTCCCACTACAGTTGTCCTGACTTCATTCTTAGGAGGTATTTTGCTTTTCTCTTTTTAAAGCAAAGATGATTTTGTAGATTCTGTTCAACGATCAGCCCCACTAAATCAACACAACTGAGGGGCAAATAGTCTCCAGCGGAGTAAGGGCTGAGGAACTTCACACCATCTGGGACAACATAACTGGGAACTGCATTCTCAGACTTTGTCATCTATTTAAAATATCAACAGTTCCTATTTCATTAGCCTAATGCGTTCCACTTAAAGCTAGAATCATGCTGATGCAGTTCAGAGACCACAGAAAAACCTTCACAGAACCAGAACACTTTTATTATAGTGTTTAGCCAAGTAATTATCAGGTTATCATCCAAAATTGTTCTCAAAACTAAAATTTAGCTTATCAATGTGATCAATTGCATCTTAGTAAACAATACAATTATGCACAGTTATCTTCCATTAAGAAATACTGTAAAATATATACAAATGTTGTTTCAGGCAAATGTCCTTTTTGCAAGCACCCAAGTTGCATTTCTGAACAAGTGCATTTCTGAACTTCAGCACTGAGTCCCATCAAGTGTATACAGAGGTCTCTCCATAGTGTTTTGTGAAACCATCTTAGTTACATGTTTAGTCACCTTTCAAAGACTCATTCTCAAAAAAATCACAAAGGTACAAGATTTATATACATAAAGGCACAGCAATTCTGTTAAAACCAGCTATGTTACAGTATAATAGAGTTCAATCAGTGCCTTTCATGCAACAAAGTTCACTAACAAATTTAAATCCTCTCCCAGGAAAATTAACCGCACAAGGACTGTATCCTTCCCTTTCAGTAAAAAGAATAACCAGCTGTTTTTTAATCAACTCAAAGTTACTACAGGAACTTGAAAGAAATACCTAAAGTGTTTTTTCTTTCTGCCTAAATTTGCGACACTTTCAAGGCTATTTCTCCTTAAAAGAAAAGTTTCCAACTAAGCAAAGGTGAAGTTTCATTTGTGCTAAAATGACAGACAGATTTTTTTTCTATAGTGATAGTTTTATAAAAATGATATATATATATATATATAGGTGCTGTCATTGGAGGCATCACCACCGGCCACAGAAAAGCCAATTCTAAAGATAGCTCAGGAACTGAGATAGAAGAAAACTTTGAATTCAGAGGACAGATTTAGATCAGGTATAAATGAATTTATCATTAGAACTACATCCCTAGTTGGTCCAGTGCTCAAAAAGACTCTATGCAATGGACGCAACAAGTGTACTTCTCCTTGTAAATTGATTCAAAATATTCTCCCCTCTCCTTCCTCCCGTACCAACTTCAAGTTGTCACTTCTGAAGCTTCAGAGTTTTCCCAGACATCAGTTGCATTGAAAGAGTATTTGCACTTTTTACATCTGTCTGCAGAGCTGAATAATTAGAAGGCAGACTGTATATTGCCATCAAGCTAATCAACTCCCAAAGCTTTGAGCTGACGTTCAATCTCTTCATCTGATATAGTAGCAGCTTTTGATGTTGATGCAGATGGTAAGCCTCTGGCAGCTGATGGAGCTTTGGCCATCTACAAGAAGACAGAAGTTTTCTTCAGTCAAAATAATACATGTTATGACAAGCTGACTTCTAGAATAAGACTGTAAAACAAAGGCTGCTAAAATAAACTATTTAAAAAAAAAAAAAAAGGAATGAAGGGGAAGCAGCATATGAACTGGGTAAAAATAGCCATACCTTTCCAGAGATTTCAATTCCTATCTCATCAAGCACTTGGTTAACAATATCTTGGCTTTCTTCCTCTTCATCAGAAGCATCAAAAATATCATCCAGTGTATCATTAACTTAGAAAAAAGAAAAAATCCACACTGCATTAAGCAAAAAGCTTACTAAAATAATCTAGTACCATTGTTCTACCCTCCCAGAATGTAGTAGTAATACCACTGTATAAGATACCAACAGAAGGCACCCCTACGTTGGAGAGGCTTTCTTACCTCTGTCTTGCAAAGCCTGTGAGCACAGCTAGAGCAACAACAGGGTAAGGCATGACTGCTTTTATAAAAATGTTTAGTTTCACCAAAATAGTTCAGTTGCTCTATCTCCACCCCCCACTAGATTTTAGCATTTCTTAAAAAGATCTTCTACAGTTTCATTAAATTCCCTTTCCTCTTCCTCCTCCAAGTAAGTTGTGAAATTGTTAACTACTCAGCTAATTTCTGAATTGCAACAATTTGTTTTGTTTGCTCTTCAATTTTGCTGCCAATTTCATTAATTGTAGAAATAAAACCTCAAGCATCAGTATTTCTAGACTGGCTCTACCCTTCCAAGAGCACTGTGGGCTGCAGCTAGCTGTTCCCTGCGGTGCAGAACTTACTCATTTCTTCAGTCATTTCCATCTTCATGTTTTCCTTCTGGAAATTCTGCATAGTTTGGAGTGTCTTTTGTGGATCCATTTTCTTATTAACTGCTTGCATTGTCTATCAATATTGAAAAAAACCCTTAGTCATACAATGACACATTAGCAAATACCAATAAATACATCAAGAAGGAATAAGACTTTTCTATTAAAAACACCTTCAGTCCAAATTTCACTTTCCTTGTCTCTTTACATCCCATGAGAACTGTAGATACACAATGGATCAATAGTACAGTCTGAACCTAGTAAGAAATACTGTGATCTACTACCCTAATAGATATGCTTTTAAATGCGTGCATCTTTCTTGCTCCACAACCCTTCTCCCGTCCAGATATAAGGACAAATCTGCCTGATCTAAACAAAAACAATGGGACAATATTTTCTAACTTGCATGCTATACACTTTAAAGAGGTAAATGGCTGCAGGTTTCTTAGTCTGTAAGGAGCATTTATTTGAACCACCACTAGAGAACAGGTACTAAAATGCAATTGTTTCTTTATAATTTAATGGAAAAATTACTTTTCTCTGAAAAGCAAATACTGAAGTGTTCAGGAAGTACACATTAGCTTAGGGTAAACCTCTGTAATGGGTAGAGATCTTTCTGTGACAGTGTAATAAACTTCATCTGTTTTACTACAAGCGTGCAGCACTGGCTTTGCAGACACTGGTAGTGAATACTTTCTTCTTTCCTAAGAAGCAAACTACTGTATCTCTCATGGGAAGTCAAAACCTAAATATAGACATGAGCAATTCAAACATAAAGTCTAACCATCTTTGAGAAGATAAAAGAGTTGGTTAATTAAAAGGGACACTACTGGCTTCGTGAAAGCTCTTCTGTGTTCATGTCTGAGTTTGTTTAAAGTGATAACATATTATGCTTCTAATATTACTTGAATTTCAAAGGCTGGGTTCATAGTCACATTATTTGAATTTAAAAAGCTGTTCTGGACTTAGAGGGTATTGGTTCTTTAGAATTCTTATACAAGAGTTATAGAAAATACGGGTCAGATGCATGATGAAAAGAAACAAGTAACTATTACCTGGACTTTACTATGTCCAAAGTTAGTGTCATACATACTATAAAAAGTATATAGAAAATACTTTGAAAGCTTCACATTCATGTATTCGTCTTGCTCGTTGAGACAATTGTTTCCATATATTTTTCACTGATTGTTGTATGAGATTAAGAATAGTATATAAGCTTCAAAATGAACAACTGAATACTTTAAGCTTCCTGTGTTGATAAGGCTAAATACTCACTTTAAAAGCGACCAGAATAATTTAACGCCTTCCTCTCCAATAATGTCACACAAACTAGTCCATAGAAGTACCTGCTGTGTTTCAAAAACCATCACTTTTGTGGACACTTGTTAATTTATTTTTTAAATATTTTTGTTTTTTCTACTGACTTAACCTTCATAATTAGTCTAGTGACACTTTGGTTTTAAGAAATTTAATCCAAGATGTCTCATAGATAATAACAAGTCAACCACGTAATAAATAAAAAGCAAAACCAGCTTGTTCACATGCAACACTGTTGTAGGAATACAGAGTAAGCTGTTTAACGTGATCAGTTTTACAGTCAGACAAGCCCCTCCTTTGTGGGTTAGTCACACAAGATGGAAAGACTGCTATAGAGCCACAACTTTGTATCACTGAACGGCTGATACCTGCCAACATACCACTCCTAAAAGATACCTGATAGCAAAGCCTTAGCAATAATTACTTTCTGCACTAAGCTGCATTGCATTACTGAGTTTAACTGGCATGTAACTGGATTTAACTTGGACTGTGATAAAAGCACAACTTGTCTACAATGATGCACACTAATTCTGTTTCCTACACCTCAAGCTGAACAGTCCTCCTTGCCAAAAGCAAACTCCCTATTTATCAATTCAGGGAAATAGGGGAAGTTCACAACTACCTTGGATAGCTGAGGTTTTTCAGACTCTTACCAGACGAGATTTGTGAGAAAACTCAATGCAATACTGTTTCCTTAGAGCACAGAAAGTAAGAATGACTCCAGATTAGATTTCCTTAGGAACTTAAGATCTGAAGCAATAACCTACTTTTTGCACAAGCTATAAAGCTACTGTGACACACTGCCTTGATTTCTAGATGAAGCATTTATTTTTATTTTATTTTTTATTTTCCCAATAAAAACTGCTTGTGACAAGATATACAGGCAAGACATTGTAGCGGCATGGTATGGGTTTTTTTGATGTACTACAAGAGTTCTGCCACTGGCACGAGAGTTTATTTTTATCATGCAAACATTTGACAGATGCCTAGCCCAAGAAAATATGCTTAGTTAGGTGCTAACTGGCTGGATTGAGTATACAAAAATTTCATAATATGAATCAAAGTACATTTCCCTACCGCATCCTCAACACCATTTGGGGCTTTAAGCAGTAAGTTTTATCCCTTCAATTATCTTATACAAAATAACACAACTTAACTTTTGCAACCACATGCTACATTTTAATATAAAAAGTGTCTTGTAACACCTTACTTTTGCTGTAGTTGACATCGCTCCTGCCATCTTCATCTGAGAGTTCATGACCTTTGTTTGAGTTGACATAGAAGTGACTTTAGAGCTAACAGCGTATGTTCGATTCTTCTGCTTCCGCAGTTGGACAAGCTGTTTTGCTAGCACTTTACAGGCTTCTTTGTTACCAGTCTTAGCCATTTTCTTTATTTCCAGTTCCTGTTGAAAAAGGTGTAAGATGAATTCTACAGAATTTTCATTCCAACAAAGACTATAATTAAGCCTTAACACTAATAATTAAATTGCAAAAATTAACTATCCTCTTGATATTTTTTTTTAAGACATTTAAAGTTTTATAGTCTTCCTTGCTTTCTACCAAGGCTATTTAGTAGAATAAATGCAATGCTGTTATGATTTGACCAGCAGAAAAAAAACACAACAAAACTGAATTATAGTATAGCAGCACACAGCTCCCCAAAAGGCTTCAACTTCTGCATAACATCACATTCACTTATATGTGCACATTCAATTCCATATCTGGAAAGGGAGTAACACTTAAAAAAACCCCAAAAGTGAAGAAATTATTATAGCCAGCTAACTATTAGCACCATGACTCTAATCATGTTTGATTTCTTGCATTCACGGGCAATCAAACCACATCGCCCATGGAAGAAATGGGGAGTTCAGAGGTGCTTTTTAACACTTTTTCAGCCCTGAGAGACTCTCATAAGCTTTTGAGGGAAGAATTAGACAAAGTTAGATAAGTAATAATTATAGGCTGTTTGTCTACATAATTTAGCTGGACTTAACCCTAGGACATAATAAAAGTGGTATAATTTGCCTACAACATGTGCTTAAACCTTAAGACAGACACATCTGTCTTACAAAAACACCCCAAACCCCAATCTATCAATTCAAAGAGAAATAGCAAGCTATTTAGCCCAGAGGTACCAAGAAAAAGTTTGGCACAAATAATCTTGTCAGCTGGGATTTTTCAAAGTATGCCTTCCGATTTGTGATTTGGTAATGTAAACTTTTCAACTAATCTTTCCTTTTCAGTCTTTTTAAGAAGAGCCTGCCACAGTATCTCAGTTCTTTGTATATGTCCAATTGTACATTTTGATTTACCATTAAGTAAAATCAGCCTGTAAGGACCAGCTTTCTCTTGTGATTCTTCAGGAGAATATACCTGCTACAGGAATACAGTTGCTTCACTCTATGTGCATTGGTACTCCAAAAAACTGCACTTTTAAGAAGACATGTTGCTCTGAAAAGGTAAATACTGATCACCAGGATACACATAACAGTCATGTTTAAAGGCAAGTGTAAGTGACCCACTACACTGGCTTCACTACTAGGAAAGACCATGGTTAAGTTTACTATAGAGATGGCACTGGCACAAGATCTTCTCTTAAATCCGTAATTTCTGAAATTTTTAATCCAAGAAGGCACAGATCAGCAAATAAGGAGCATAAGACTGTTCAAACATTAGAGGCCTGAAATATATATAAAGCTGTTCTCTTTGTAAGTAGCTCACAGAGACCACAAAAACAAATTTCTACAGCATGCCCAGAATATTATCTCCTTTTTTCATACCTCAAGTATTATGAAGGATAGGAGGGATTACTTTGCACACTAGCAAACACTAGCATGCACCCTCGTTTTAAAGCAAACATTTGAAAATAGGGATTTTCTCACTGAGATGAAATACCTAAATAGCATTAATAACCTGATTTTCAAAGTGAAATACAAACCTACATCAACCATTGCTAAATCACTGCAGATAATCCAGCTGCAGAAATCAAACACTATATATAGATGATTTTATTCTTAATTAAGAAGAACTTGGATAAAGAGCTGCAATACATTATTTGCTATTGAGAGGTTTAGGGCAAGCTTATTCAAGTCAGTTACGTTCTGGAAATAAATAATCAAAATTCATACAGTCGTATGAGGTTACTGAACTGAAACAGAACTGTCTGCATACTTGAAGGTATTTTTATACATAGAATTAATATAACTAGGTTTTCTTGGAGTAGTAGCTCAGAATTAAGGGGGGGAAAAAAAGTCTTTCTGAAGAAAGTACATGACAAAATGTTCTGAGACTGACTGACAAGCCCTTAGTCCTTTTTCACCTGATCTGACTCTGCAAATTAATATTTATTGTCCATTGATTCTCTCATCCTAACAGCAAATTTTAACTTTTTCCAAGGACATTTTTCACTTCTCCTTATTCTCCTCAGAAATCCAACATTTCTGAAACAATTTACTGTAGTAAGCAACCAAAACTTCAACCTGAGTATTCATAAAAATTAAGGTTATTTCCAGAGTTAGAATATTTCATACTTAAAAAATGTCTTATCTACGAGTAGCCTATTATATCTTAGGTGTTCAAGGCTTCCAGAAACAATTTCTCTGACCTCTTTGAGTTTATTATTCCTAGCTCTGGGTATTCATGCGACCTGCTGCCATGAAACACAACCTCACTAGCTACTGAAACAGTGGCTGGATTTGCATAGCTTTTCCCACAGTCTGAGCATGTCTTCATGCATCAAACCCCGCCATCTGTCACATCCACTTATCCAATTATACTGCCACACAGGTGCAGCATCCATTCACTGAATACTTGATAGCTCGTACACACTTAAGTTTTAAATAGATATTAATTTGGGCAGATAGTTTTAGGGAAGTTCTATATAAATGAAAATAACAATCCTACAGGTATTCATGATACCCTGTGGTTTTTCAAGTACTTTCTCCCACAGGAGACTCATGGTAACATATGATAGCACTGACAGTTTTTTCACCACAAGACCACTGATTTACAAGCCTGTCAGAAAAAACCTTCTGAAGGATAGAGAATGCTAGGAATGGAAGGGAAAAATGAATGTGCTTATTTAAATCTAAACACACTGTTTCAGGCTTTTCCTATATTAAAGACTGAGAATCACTTTTAGATGTAAGTTTTTTCCAACACAATTTTAATAACTAAGAAGTCAAAAAGAGGAAGACAACTTTTTTTAGTGTTCAATTCTTAGACCTTGAGTTGTACCTTTAGCACTTTGCAAGTTTTTGTCTTAGATTGGGGGAGTGTGTTTGTTTTTAAAGAGTAAAATAAAGTTCCCTGCTCTACTTACCAGTTGTTTTTCCTGTTTTTCAAGTGCTGCTCTATCTCTGGTTATAGCCCTCTGTGTACCTCTTAACTCTCGATTTTGCTCCTTTATTATATCTGGAAAGAAAACATTTATAGCTGGGAAAAGTTTTCAGTACTACATAAACATCTTGTCTGCTAGACACTCTGCAGACATGCAGCACGTTTGACAGACTCCCTTTGTTCAGAATCAACTGTCAATTATCAAAGAACTGTCAGCATTTCAAATATATGAAATATTAGGAAAATACAATTTTATGTAAACAACATGATTACAGAGGCCACATCCCGTAACAAAAAGCTATTTTAGCTAGTATGTTCACCAGAGCCATAGCAAGAGCCTTAACCGCACAGTAAGAGTTAGGTACACGCACTTTTCTGCGAGTTCAACCCTAACTCAGGAATATCCTATTCACTGTGAGCCCACCACGCCTTCACAACCAGTCAGGTCTACTGCAACAGGTAGATCAGCTGAAGAAACCTTATATATGAGATCTCAGAGCAGTTAAAGAGCTCCCAAGTCCATTAAAACAGTGAAGATATTCCTAGATGCAAGTCCTGGATCCTGTTCTTCTCTGTCCTTATTCTGGTTCAGTGGAGATTTCTCTCCTCCACAAATGTACCACATCTGTGGAGCCCAACTTCAAGTTAAACTATAAAGCAATAGTGTTTGAACTTTTTCAATTAGCAGATGCTTAAGAATATCAAGATATGAAAGCGGATGCCTTAAATTTAATTTTTTATAGAAAATTTAAGTTTCCTGACAACTGATGTAGCCGGCATAATCTTGAACACTGTCTGCAGGTAAAACGTATCATTCTTCATAGGAGTTTTGTCCCCTGTACTATTTTAAAAGTACTTACCTGTCACATCCACTTATTAAAGCAAGTATTATTTACAATATAGGTCTCACTCATGCTAGTTGCAATTAACTTTTGTTAGAATTTACAGTACGTGCTTAGGTGTGATTCACCTGGGCAAAGGTAGAGAGGTCTGCATCTGACTCAGCATCCTCTGACCTTTATAGAGGAAAGAAGATAGTACTTTTAGGAAGAGATTCATCTACTCCTAACGTATGTCTACACAACATTAGATAAACTTTGGGTGGGACTTCAAAAGGAGCAGAATGCCACATCAACTTTATTTAGACCTCGTTCTTCTAATCCACAGAAATGACATCATGGCAGGGCACTGCTATTGTACTTACAAAGTTTGAAGCACGTGAAAATCAATACTAACAGGCAGAGTTACTAACAGAAATAAAGGCATGAAGTATAATTACTAGAAACTGCGGCCACCCTTTTAATTTTTAAGTCTTCCGAAAATTTTTCTACAAACAGAAAGAAACATTCACGTTCTTCATTCCTGCAATCAGAAATACTGTAAAACATCCATTGCTGAAATTACTTCAACCTTGATAGGTTTCAATCAGAAAAACCCCAAACCATCAGTGGCATTTAAAGAGGGCATATACACTACCCCCTTCCACCAATTGTTTTTGGTCAAACAAACACATATTCCAAACAAACTCTGTGAGAGAGACCTGTTTTTACAGCGCTACTACTGCTCCGTGAATTACACAAAAGGCATCTTCAGGAGATGTGGACTTTTCAACGGACAATAACGAAGAGCTGAAAGATGACACAGAATACAACACAGCATTCTTCACACCGGCAAAGCAGCAGGGAAAATTATTCTGAAAACAATGCTACAGGCAAGTAATTTTGAAGGTAGACAAACGTATATTACTTGCACAGCTGCACTGGTGAAAAGAAAAAGCTTAATAGCTACATACAAGACTGTCTTTTATAACTGCAATAACTATTAAAAAAATCCCTTAGCGTAGGAAGCTTGAGAAGTATGAACTTCAAGATGATAAGGAACAAGAATTGTACTTATGTCAGGAGACAATAAGGGTGATCACGACGCTTATTTCTGTTAGTTTGAGCCACTATGTCAGATCAGAAACAAGGATACCAATAAACTGAAAACAACCACTATCTGCAGTTACAGGCTCTTTCACTTGTTTTTACAAGTGAAGGCCAAGATGAGAACTGGTCCTTGTTTCTCTGTGGTAACTGACGCAAATTCCTAGCTCTACTCCTGCAGGCAGAAGACGACGGGGTATTCCTGGGACAGCCTTTTGCCGACAGCCACTCCTGTGCATCATGCTGCCGCCTCACGCACCAGGACAAGGAGGAAACACCTCCATTCCTTAGAACAGGTTGGACAAGAGACACCCAGCAGGGCTTGACCTGGCTCCTACAATCCGCGTTGGTCATGGAAGCTTAGTGCCATCTCCCCCTTCCTCTCTTCGCAGGTGTTGCACCAAAAATGGAAAGAGACAAGTGGGAAACATACGTATGTGTCCCTTGGTGACATACAATTGGTTGAAGCACAGCGTCATTTTTGGCGTACCGTTTTTGAACCAGGACCCACCCGATTTGACAC